CAAAGCATCTCACTCATAGCAACTGCACTGGGTGAATTCCGCTGTCATCCTCCCTAGTATTCAAAGCAGGAGTGCAGAGATGGGATGGGACTTACCCAAGGTCACATAGCAAGTCAGTGGAGATTTGGCAGTGCATCCTACCCCATTTCCTTTGGTTGGTTGGTTACGGATCTGCTGGATCAGGACTGGATCCTGGATCACACTATCAGGTCACTGGGATGCTGGTGCTGCAGAAATCTCTAGCTGTGAACTGGGTGACAGCAGAGATGACACAAGCTCACGTTATGATATCCTACTATGAAACCAGAGAGGACTTGTGACACTCACAGCCTGGGCTGGTGACAAAAGCCCTGTGTTTGTGCTGCCTTCAGCAGAGCAATGCTGATTTAAACCACTCAAGCATCTGGTGAGGCAAGGCAGAAAGGGGGATTTAACCGACCACCATGGCTAGATGCACTTGCTGGGTGAAAAGACACCATTTCAGCTGCTGTTACAGTTTTCAAACCAGATTTTTCAATTCCAAAAGAAAAAGAAAGGAACCCAAAGTGCTACTGAAGGTCCCTGCAGGTCCCTGCCTGCATCCTGGGGTATCTATCTCGGTGCATAAGCCCCCAGTCTAAGAGGGTTTCCATCCCATCATGCTCGGAGGCATCAACCTGAGCTCCAGGTGATGTTCCCTGCTGGAACACAGAACCCCCAACCCTGATGAACTGAACTGCATGTGCATGCTCACAAGCGCAGAGCTAAGGCTCCCGTTCATAAACCTTGACATATTTAGCAGCTAAAAAAAGACACGGCTCCAAGAGTGGGCAGTGAGACAGCGGGGGGTGCAGCTGAAGCTAAGTGGGATCTTGAATCCCAACCCCTGAGGGAGCAGCATCCTGACACTTCCCAAGGTAATTCAATAGAGCCAGTAAGAAGAAAGTATTTAAAGCAAAATAGAGAAGCAGCAGAAATAACCGGAACGCTTGGAATGTTTGCGCTTCCCCAAAAAAGGCACATTTGGATCTCTTCGGATGTTTCCATGTTTATGGTGAGCTCAAACAGCCTCTCCTTTTTCACTTAGCAAGTCAATTAGAAGTCACCACAGCAGCACCCCATGAAACTGCTCCAACCCAGCCCCATTCCAACCCCCCGGCTGGGGAAACCTGGCTTGTTTTAAAGGATACAGCTGAGCGTTTGGGGATGGGGAAGGGAGAGAAAGGGGCAAAGGGTTCATGTGGAGGTCTCCAGTGATAAAAACATGATGGGAGCAAAGGGTGCCCAAAGGACAAACAGAATCTCTATCACCTTGACCACAGCAGCAACAGCTCCAGTGATACCATGGGCTCCTGCGGCTGGCAGAGGTGACAGCACCAGGCACTGACAGCGCTGCACCAGGGATGTGCTGCCTGGATAATGCATTGGTTGTATTATGGTTGTGCCCACTGGCCCCTGAGCTTGAGGGCTTGCTGTGCAACAAGCATCCCTGCTTCAATGCAGAGGAAGCTAAAAGGGAAGCAGAACAGAGGCACAGCACAGCCTGAGATGCTCTGAAATGGCTCCACCTGAGCTGCTCTGGGAGACCTTGCTCCCAAAAAGCAGTGAGCATCCATGGAATCACAGAATGGTTTGGGCTGGAAAGGACCTTCAGATCATCCAGTTCCAGACGTATCCCTGCAGGTCCTGCCTCCACGTTGGAGCATTCTGCACTCAGCACGAGAGAATTCCAACAAGAGCTGCTCAGGTGTGCAAAGGAATGGTCAGATCCTCAGCCCAGTGGGCTGGGCTGGGCTGGGCTGGGGACCTGTGGCCATTTCCCAGTGGGAATGCAGCGTGCCCAGACTTAACTGCAGAAACCTGGTACTTAACTGTGGTGGCTTGAAGCTCACCCCTAAAAGAGTGGGGAAACCCAGAAGGCAGGACGACACAGGGCTCAGGCTGTGACAGCAGCTACAGCAAGGCACACAAAAGGAGGGAGGCAAAGAAAGATCAAGATGAGAGACTGCAGCGGTGCTGGCAGCACAGAGGAACCCCAGCCACCTCTGCAGCCTTGCTGGCTCTGCTCCGGGGCTGGAAAACCATCTCACAGCAGCTCCTTTTCCAGCCAAAGATGGGAGCTGAGATTGTGAGAGCAAACAAGAGGCGGATGAGCTGCAGGCAAAATGCTACCTGAAAAAGAACCCCCCCCCTTGCTTAGCAATGTAAAGAGAGCAAAAGATGCTCCCTCTGATTAGAGCGATTCTGCAGTTAATTGTGCACCAGATTGCAATCGGGGCTTTCACATCTGCATCCATCAACAGGCTGCTTTCTGCTATCAGATTGCCCTTGACAAACAGCAGAAGCAAGGGAATTTAGAGGAAAGCAAACCCAGGTCAGCCCTCTGCATGGACAGAGTTTGCTGAGAGCACTTCAAGGGCCTTTGGAAAAGAGAGACCTTGGTGTTCCACCTGTAAAGATGTAAACCAAGACCATGCCGTAAGCCAGAGCTGACCTTTGAGGCTTCCAAGCCCCTCACTGTGCAGATCCCGGGCTGGGAGCTCTGAGCTCTGTAGCCAAGACACCCTGCGAAGCTGCTTTGTTTGCCTCAAGTTCTCGGAGCGTGGAAGGAGAATTCAGGAGGCTCTTCCCTCCTGGAAACTCTTGCTGTGACTTGGACACGACTCCAAACACGTGGCCCAGATTCTCTGGAGCTTCTCAGAGCTCCTGGCCCAGAGCTCAGGTCCGTGTGGAAGCCAGAGGAATGTCACAGGGTTTACAAGCATTGACAAGCATTCATTTCTCTCCAGAAGGGCCAGCCCAAGGGCACGGGCTCAGTGGAACCCGCAACGTGGATACCTGAATGCACACAGGGCGTACAGAGCGCACACAGGTTTCTGTCTCACTAAGGGGCAGAGCACAGCACAGGGAGGATGGAGGTTCCTCGTGCACTTGGGAGGTCAAATCTCAATGCCCTGCGCTAGCACAGGCTCCCTGCAGCACCCTGAGCAAGCCATTTTCTCTCTCCGCTTTCCTGTGTGCAAAATGAAGTTGCCTTCATCTCTCTCGTCTGGTTTCAGTGCCAGCGACAGAAGGCAAAAGCTGTCTCCTCCTGCACCCGTGCTCTTGGCTGTCCCCAGCCCAACTGTGCTAAACCAGGCAGCACCAATGGCAATAGATGCACTGAGGTTGAAAGCAGCTCCTTTGGAAGGCAGTGGGAAGCAGCCAGCACGTTCCTTCAGCTGCATCTCAGTCACCTGTACCGGAGGAATGTGTGACACCATCACTTTGCTCTTTGTCCCTCCAAGCCTGTCTGAAGGGTCCATTCAGGGGCCCACAATGAGTGCTTGTGTAGTGAAAGGGGCCTTTGCAGCACTGAGAAGTATTTTAGTGCTTCCATGCCTATCTCTGCCAGCATCCCAAAGCTCTATAGATCTCGGGGAGCAAAGCTCTGGGAACAAAGCAAGGTCAAGTGTTAGCAGATGGGGGAACTCAGGCACAGGGATACGCTGACGTGTCCAAGGTCTGTCAGAATCCTCAGCAAGGCCAGGGACAGGGTCACACCTGCAGAGTCCTGATCTTTAGTCACAAAAGCTCGCCTTTTCCAAGCAGGAGAAGAGAGGAGGAACCCCCAACCATTGCTGGGGAGGTTGTTCCACTACTTGTTTAGGAGCTGCCCTCACTGGACATGGTACCTAAACATCAGGAAACTGGGGGCTAAATGCCTCACACCTACACACACAAATAAAGCTTCATGGATGGGGTGAACCTGGTGTCTTCCTTCTGTTCCTGCCTCTGTTCCTTCTTCGAGCAGGCTCTGATATATCCCAACAATGCACTTGTGCCTTCTGCAGGGAGGAAAGGATGCTCTAGACTGCACTTGGAAATCTCTGCGTGCCACTGTTCCCACTGACACGAACTGACCAGTTAGCTCATGGCCTGCTGTTTGCATCAAGGGAATCTTTTAAGGACCATGGGAACTGGTTTTCATGACTATCCACAGATGGGGTGCCCAGATTCCATGGCAATGCCTCGTGAGACTGCACAAGACTGTTTGCATTTCCCACATCTCAGCTCTCTGTGTTAGCACATGCTGCCCCATTACTACTACAGAGCAAATTAATCCCATTTCCTTGCAGGAAGAGGGTCCTGTCGGAAGGCACTTGCCCCTTCACAAATCTCAACCAGAGGCACTAACTTTTTGCCTGCTGTTTGCTCAAAGCACTTCCCCTTCAGGCTCCTTCTCCAACCCCCGCACACATCACACCATTCATTTAGTTGATGCAGAGCACCAAAAACCAACCCCAGCAGCCCCAGGCTGGACCCTGATGCTTTCTTCTTTTCAGAGCTAATGCCACCATTGTGCCCACCACCCAGCACACTCATTCCAGCTGATGTTCAGAGGGAAGAGCCAGCAGTGTATTAAAGCCTGACTTTACAGGAGCTAGTGCTGGCATGGCAGAGAGACCAGGCTTACCCAGGGGAGTATCTTGCCAGCGAGGAGGGGGACAGCATCCAGGGGGCAAGTTCTGCACGGCCCTGGGAACTTGTCAGAGCAACAGGCGCATTAGGGGGATGTAGCTGAGACCGACAACCACAAACCAATGCAGCACAATGAGAACGCCAAGCCGCCGGCCAGGGGCACGACTGCAGCCCAGGAAGCCAGCGGCGGCAGGATTCCAGCCTGGGAACCTACCCCACTCCCCACCAGCTCCCCTGGAACCTTTCACACCGTAGCCCCCCCCCCAGAGGGACCCATGCCAGGGGTTTCCACCGACCGCTGCGTGCTGAAGCCGACAGAGAGCGCAGGGTTGAGCAAGGGCTTCCTAAAGCGTGTTTAGGACGACCGAAAACACGCGCAGGGCTCTCCCCCCGCGACGGCAGAGCCAGGTACAAATCCCTGCTGCGCTCGCCCGGAGCCGGACCTCCAAGTTGAGCCGCCCCCTCCCCGAGCACTTTCTGCCCAAAGAGTCCCGAAGGCAGCGACGTTCCCCGGCCGGCGGGGCTGCGGGCAGCCACGGGCAGCGGTTACCGGCACTCACCCACCGCCGAGCAGGTCGCTCTCCCTCCTTCCTCCTTCCTGCCGCCGCCACGCCGGGTCCCGGGGAAGGGCAGGGGCGGCGCAACGGGCGCTGCGGGGCCGCTCCGGGGACGGGGCGGTGGCGGAGCGGGGCCGGAGCGGTGCCGGAGCCGGAAGGGGTTGGAGCGGTGCGGGAGCGGTGCGGGACCCGGCGCTTGGCTCCGTGCGGCGCTGGCTCCTCCCCGCCGCAGCCCCGGGATGAGCTCGGCCCCGCTGTGCCCCTGCAGCCGGGCCGGGAGCGGTGCGCGCAGGAGCCGCGGACACGCGCGCCCACAGCTCCAACCTCAGCGCCCCACTCAGCGAGCTCCCTCCGCAGCTCTTCCTCCTGCTCCTCGCGGCCCTGGGCACGGCAGGGAGCGGGAGCGCCGGGCTCCGTCACTCCGGTGGGGTTATGCGTTCAGCTGTAGCTTCACCATCCATCCCTGCCATTTGTTGTCTTATATTTAGCCAAAGTCTGTTTGCCAAAAATAGAGCAGCCATGGAAGGAGGCTGACTGGAGGTGCCAACGCTGCCTGGCTGAAGCTAATTAGTTTCTTCTCTCCCCGGCTCTATGAATCCTCACCTTCCCCCTCCAGAGCATCCTGTCTGTCAGGAGAGTGTTTGTAATTAGTGGGTATTGCCTAAATCTGGGGCATGTGCGGGAGGTTTCATGGGGAGGGGGAAGGCAGAGGGATGCCCCCGGGACACCTCGGCAAGGAAGGAACAAAATCCATCTCCAGAGAGTATGGAGAGTGGGAAGCTGGAGAACACAGAGCTGGCGAGGAAGAGGAAAGGGGGCACAAGCTCTGCCGGAAATCCTATTGCTGGGAAGCATATAGGAGCTTATACAGGATTTTCTCCTTCCCAGATTCCACAAGGAAGGTTGTGCAGAAGGTGTATATTTGGGCTTCCTTCGTTCTGTTGCTAGCAGAACTCCTTTTTCCCTTTTCCTCTTAGCGTGTGGGAGTCTCGGTGGACTTGGAATCATCAAGCTTGCTGGGAGACACTTGGAAGAACAGGGAAGTGCTTCACAGATGGCATTGCCGAAGTGTAAAATCTGAGCCCCCGTGGAGGAAAGGGGTGTTTTACCAGGACCCATTTTGTTCACTTTAGCCTGCCCCATGGCAACACCGAGCCCGGACCTGAAGCCCTGAGTAATGCTCATCTGCTCTGTGGCTGGGGTCAAGCATCTGACACCAGCTCTTCAGTCAGTGCAGTCAGGGAGCACGGGAGCGAGGACCCAGCTGAGCTCACAGGGCTCAGTGGGCTGGAACTGCCCCTGCAGAGCTCGGGCTTGAGGCTGGGGCACGATGGCTGCAGCAGGGGTGAGGCCCATCCTCTGTGACACAGGGCGAGCAGCTGGCTTGTGCCCCGCACCGCAGGGCGCAGGGAGGAGCAGCAAAGGGGGAGACCCAGAGGCCCTCCCCTAGCCCTGGTCAATGAGTACCTGGTCATGTGTGCTGCAGAGTCAGCGCAGCCCGGGGTGACGTTACCGTCACGCTCCCTTCATGCCACTGGCTGCAGGAACCAGCATGTTTCCTGCAGGCTCTGGCATGGCTCTGGCTTCCATCCTTGCATCCTTGCCCATCTCCTCCACTTAAAGGGGAGATGTCTGCAGGAGGGAGGTATCTCAAGCAATGTGCCTTTCCCAGCACAGCACAGCCCTCAGTGTAACACCTGCTGCCACATGCTCCATGCCACAGCTATGAGACCACTGAGTCCCTTTTAAATCAAAAAGCAAAGGAGATCTCCAGCAAAAGCTGTGGCTGAAGGAGAGAAAGCCCCCAAACTGGAGATGGACAGAGAAACCAGCTCCAAGGGAAAGCGATGTGAAAGGGACAAAAACATTACAAGCCATTAGCGGACAGACAGGAGCTCAGTGACTGTTACTGGTGCATAACATCCCTCATAGACATAACTGACAATAACCAGCAGGAAGGGGTTGCTGTAAGCCTGGCAGGGGTGGCTTTGGGAGGAGGGTGTGGAGAAGGGAAGCCCCCAGCAGGGACCCCTGGACATGCACCTTAGAGAGTGGCGGGAGGGAGCTGCGTCCCAGCCTGATGCTCACCAGCACATGGGACAGGAGCACAGAGCATCTCCCTGCCAGACTGCTGCGGCACCACCGAGACTCTGCCCTGTGTAATGGGGCTGGGTCTGTTCCACCGGGAACAGCCCAGAGCAAACTGTCCCTTAATGTGTGCTCTGTGAAAGGCAACGCAGGCTGAGGTCGCTGGTGTTGGACTTGGCACCCAGCAGCGGATGCCTCTGCAGTGCTCAGCAGTGTTTGCAAGGCAGCGCCTGCAGGGAGGTTCTCAAACACAGAGGCAGAGAAGGAATTGCTCCTAATCTCCAGTCTAAGAGCAGACAGTGTGTCTGTGGTTGTGATTACCTCAGCTCATGCTGGGGGAGACTTTGCTCAGCAAATCCTTCCCCTTCTCCCAGTCATGCAGTTCCCAGCACATCCTTTGCCTTGGGATCCCTTCCTGCTCTCCCTCTTGATAGGAATTGCATCTTTTGAAGATCTTCCTCCCCCCGGGGCCCATCTGCTGTCACCTCCTTGCAAACAGCCCCTCAGCCCAGCTGTGCCCTTGCTTGGAGAGGGGGGAGAAGAGGGAAAGCTGCAGCAAGCAGGGGTCAGGCTTGATGGAGACTGGAACCACACAGGGCTGTGACGTCCGTAACCCAGGATGATGGCTCTGAGCTGCTCATGCCATTGGCACAGTGCGAGGGCATCCTCCAGGTAGAAGTGATCCCATCTCTGCTGTTCACCACATCCCTCTTCGCCCCTCCTGAAACCACAGCAGCCAGAGGTGCTGAGCTGGGCTCCTGTGCTAAGCCAGGGGCAACGGTGCCTTGCTCCACAGGCTGCAGGCACCAAGCAGGCTGCAGTGGTTTCCAGGAGCAGCAGGGAAGGCTGCAGCATCCTGAGCAGCATTTCAATCACAGACCCAATGGGGTTGCCAGGGCTGCTCCTCTCCAGAGCCCTTCTTGTCAGCAAACACCACTGCAGAGATGCAAGAGAGGGACCACGGATGCTGGGGAGCCAGCACAGTCTCGGGGTGATGGGGAGAGCACCTCAGACCCATGGCCAATGCAAGGGCAAAGAGCTGAGCAGAGGTGATACCAAGGCTCCAAATGCATAAAGGTGGAAGGGGGCAGCCTGTCCTCTTACATAGCATCTGCTGTAAGCTGTTAGCCCCCATTTAATCCCAGTGCCCAGACTGGGGGCACCCTGCCTGCCTGCCCACTGCAGGTGCCTCGTGTAGCACCCTGTGAGAGGCAGGAGCTCCCCTACACCATCTCCAGGCTGGAATCAAAGCCCGTGGGAGTCATTTGGATGTGCTTAGAAGGGAGCTGACTGGAATGAAGATGTCAAAAGGAGCTGAGCAATGATGTGCCAGGCCCAGTAAGAGAGAGTTAATGAAGATACAGCCTCCGAACAGTGTGTACCCAGTGGGCATCACTGTCTCCCTTGGAGAGGTCTGGGAGCTCCAATCTGCAACCCAGTTCTCTCACATGAGAGTCCTGGCAATCCCAGGAAATACAGAAGTATATTGAACCTGACAGCTTAGACTGGAGCAATAAACAGCAGCAACAGGAATGTGCTTGACTTGGAATCACAGCTCAGCTCCCACGGGTTTCACCTGCTTTCTCCCTGCTCCTCCATCCTCATTCCCCTGCCCACAGAGCAGGGTCTGAGTTGCAGATCCCTCCAGATCCCCAGCAGCTCCCAAGCACGTCTTCCCCCCTACCAACCTCACATGGACATGCATGTGTGCTGCTGTGTGTAGGTCTGCAGGGGATGTTTTACAGTGACTGCATCCAGGCAGCAGCTCCCTTCCCGCTGCCCTGCCATTCAATAGCGACACAGGCACCGAGTCATGGAAAGAGAATGTGTTCAATGCTTCCCCTGCCCATGGCCCTCTCTTGTGCACAGGCAGGCATGTGGAAATCATTGCCTGGAGACCAGCCCTGCATTTCAGCAGCAAGCAGCCTGCTTCAGTCTAAAGGCTGGCTGCTAAGTCAAGGAAAACTGGGATATGAGCCCTTGCCTAACTCCAGGCCAGCCCGGAGTGTCCGGATCTGCTCATGGCCACTTCTAGAGGCCAAAGGCACCCAATGCTGTCCCTGCAGGTTGGACACGGGCTTGGAGCAAGCTGCTCCAGTGGAAGGGGTCCCTGCCCGTGGCAGGGGTTGGAGCTGGATGAGCTTTAAGGTCCCTTCCAACACAAACCAAGCTGGGATTCCTAACTGAGCCCAGAAGAACCGCAGCCTGCTCTTGTCCTGCACAAGAGCTCCCTGTGAGCACCAACCACCCTAAACTAAACTCGGTGCAAAGCAGTGGTGTTGCCATGCTGGGTGACACGTTCACACCGTACAGTCGGCCGGAGCACGGCTGACCCTGGCAGCCATCAGGCCAACAGCAAACTGGTGAATCCAGCAGCATCTCCATGGAGCATCACCATAACAACACATCCACCAATCCACACCAGAGATACACGCACGTAGCAACCAGGAGCTGCCAAATGGGGGAGAAAGGTCCAAAGTGTGCCCCAAGTGTTTCCTGCAGGATGCTCCTGTCAGTGAACAGACCCCAGCAGCACCATGGGCAAAGCCAGAGACATGCACCCGGTACAACAGGCACCAGAACTTCTCCCCCAGCAAGTAGCTCTGGACCAGAAGCATCCATTGCCCTGCCAGTGGTGTGCCTGGAAGGGGGGTTTGGCCTCTGCCGTTGGTGTTTCCCTTCGGGCTGCGAGCACCCTGTCCATGCGCCAGAGCAGAGAGAGGAAGCCTCAGTGCCAAGGTAGGGCTGGCACATAGAGATGGGGCTGGCACCTCCTAACAGCACTGATCTTCGTAGCAATAGGACAAGGGGTGATGGGTTCAAATGGGGTTCAGATGTTATCTGCAGGGGTTAAAGCCCCTCAGCTCTGCAGAGAGGAGCCCAGGCGCCAGCGCTGCCGTTCAAAAGCAGCCCAGCACCATTCCCAAAGGAGTTTGCTCCTGGGAGTGGACCTTGTCCCTCCTCACCCCCCGTGAAGCAAGGGCAGGGAGAAGTCCGTCTTTGTCCCAGGACAACCCATCTCTCCCACTGACTCAGTGACAAAGCTTCCCCTTTGCAAGGGTGAGCTGCACAGGAACACAGTCCTCCCTGCTGGGAGGAGGTGAGCAAGCGCACAAGGGCTTAAATCTCTGCTTCCTCTTGGGAGCAAGGAGCACTGGGGTTAAGGTACTGCAGGGCAACGTGCCTGGGCAAACCTAACAGCCCAGACGCTTCTCTGCACCAGTGTACACCAGAAACACCAGCAGTGTCTGGTGCTTTCCTGCTGACGGGAAGTGGGAGTCCCTGCTTGGACTGGGACCAGTGATCAAAACCAGCATCAGATGGGGTTTTCCAGCCCAAACCATTAAGACCCCTATTAGCAGGATGCAATCCTTCAGTGTAGGCAGTGCAGGAGGTCTGGCTAAAGAATGATAAGGACTCTACGGAGCCTTTGGCCACAGGGGTGGATGGATGGATGGATGGAAGAGGAGGAGCCCTGGCAGCAGGCTGGCACTG